CTCACCTCAGCCTCCCAAAGGTGCGGGATTACAGGCTGAGCCACCGAGCCCGGCTTGACAGTAAATTTTTAAAAAAATTAGCCAGGCGTGGTGGCACCTGCCTGTTGTTTCTGCTACTTGGAAGGCTGAGGTGGAAGGATCACCTGAGCCCAGAAGGTTGAGGCTGTGGTGGCTGAGAGCATGCCACTGCACTCCGGCCTGGGCAATGGAGTGAGAGTTCAACTAAAAAAAAAAAGCTCCAAACTTACAAAGTGGGGGGAAATCCCAACAGGGCGGGGCAAGCCACAGCTCCTTTGTCTAAGAGCTCAGCTTCAGCTCTCTGGTACTGCCTGGATCCAGCCCTCTATGCCATAGTCACGTGAACAACAAGTTATGACAATGGGTTGTAGCTTCCTTCTCGGAAACCCAGGTCCTGGGCTGCCAGATGTTTTTCTAACCTCAGGCACAAAGCATACACATTTGATCATTTAGAGGGAACCTATCACCTGCACTGAAAAAAACGAATTGTACATCCTATTACTAGTAGGATAGATGCATTCTCTTATATACAAAGAATTTCACTACTACAAATAAACAATTACATGTTAATGATTTGGTTTGTTTTTTTTTGTTGTTGAGTGTTTCAGAAGCCAAGTTTGAAGCACTTACACAAAATATCCCCGACTACACATGAACTTTTCAACTTTTGTAATCGGTAATTTTGTAAACATTTCAACTTTTGTAACTTGCTATAATGTATCTATATTTATTTGTTGCTTTCTTGGGCTAGTAGCAGAAATCAACAAAGAAGCACTTAGTAGCAGCTACAACATTGTTTTAAAAGATACATACATCTTTCACTGAGAAGCCCATGGACAAGGCAGCCACGTCTGGGATTCGCTCTCCTGGAATAGGCCAATTTCCATTTCGGAAAACAACAGAACCTGGTGATTTTAGTATACTAAACTCGTTCCCCAAAATGCCTGAGAAGAAAACAGATCAGTAAATGAATCATCAGCATCCTAAATCTTTTTTTTTTTTTTTTTTTTTTTTTTTGAGTTGG